CACAGCCCTGTTCCCCAATTTTTTTTTAAGAAAGAAAATAAAATATAAAGTAAAATTGGAAAGTATATGAAAAGGGTAGTCTTAAATACGTGACATTTCTAAGGGAAAATTAGTTATAAACATGAAGAAAATCTTCACTTTGCCATAAATCATTCAGAAATGATTTTAGTAAGTATTTAAAACTTAAAAAATAAAGTCACCTCAACACATGCACCTCACCTGGTTTTGATCATTGTCACTCTGATTGGCAAAATCATTTTCTGACTCCTAAGGGGGGGAAGATGGATCCATTAGCACAGGCTTTACTCAGAAGCAGAGATGACTTCGGTCCAAGACTCTGGGTAAGCTGATGCTAAGTCACGCAGAGGAAGACACTCTGTCTGTGGCACCAACCACGGGTCACCGCAAGGACAGAGATGCAGACAAGGTAGATGGAGTGTGAAGGCTGTCACAGCTGGCTTCTATGGTCCATGTTAATACCTCCAACCATTTTTTCATGACAGTTGCATTTTTTATTCTGACTTCTGAATTCAAAGTAAGAGCTACAAATTCAGTTAAGTCAGCTGTATTATTTCACATTCTGGACTCTACTCTCTACTTCCTCTAGGTAGGATAACTGCTTCATTGAACCCAAGGGAACATTACTACTTGCTCCCAGAAATTTAAAGAGTGACACTGATGGCTAAAAACAGGAGGGAGGGAATGAATGGGTTTGGCACAGTTACCAAAGGAAAGCTCATTTCCTTCTGGTAATATTTCTGCTTGGGGGCTACAGGAAGGCAGGGAGCAGAGGGCACTGCAGAAAGCAGGACAGATGAGGAGAGGGCCACACACACAAATCCATCTCCTTTCAGAACTCTTATACTCAAGGTCCACTCCTCATGGTGTCCCTGCCCTTCACAATGACCCCCTCTAAGGGCCAGGCAGCCAGATTATGCTCTGTGGACATGAACATGCTCAAAGTGGCAGTGATGTTTAATGCGTCTTCTGGTCTACAAGCTTCATCATAAAAATATTAGATGCAGATTTTTTTTCCCCTGGAACCATTCAGAGATAGAATATACTCAAAGATTTCAATCACAGGTAGAGATCTAAGCTGCCCTCAAATGTACTGGGAAGAGGAGGGATTCAGTAGCAAGATGAGAGGAAGCTAACCCTTAAGGACACTGGGTTAGTTTTCCTTGTTTCTGTATACAAGACAAAGAGGAAATCTAACCCAAGGAAAAGCTTCAGATTTTGACTTCCAGCATTGTTAAAAATTTTATGAAATCAGACAGATAACTCACAAATACAGACTTTGCCTGCTGAACACCTCAGTTTCCCGCTCACCATGACTTGGTCGGATTAGTCCTTACCTCCTCCTCTTTCTCTGCATCACTGTCCACAATGCTCCCCCGATCACTGCCCACGGAGCCTTCTGTGAGAAGAGGATAAGGATGAGCACCAACACCACCAGAGAATGACTTTAGTTCTGGGTCACACAATACCATGCAACAGGATCCCAGAGGCTCTGAAAAAGCCACATATAGCCACTTATGGGAATTAAAAATATCATTATGTGAGGAGCCAGATATTTATACAGTCTCAAAGCATATCTCTCCATAGGATTAAAAAATTATTCATTACAACAGAAAAAAAAAAAAACCTGGCTGTACTCTTCAAAGATGTCAAGGTCATGAAAAGGAAGGAAGGCTGAGAAATTGTGTCATGCTAAAAGATGACAGAGACATTAGACAACTAAATGCCCTCCCAGGGCCTGGACTGAGTCCTGGACCAGAGGAAGAAGAGAGACAAGAAAAGGCATCATGAGGACAACTGGCAAAACTCAAGTATGACCAGAGATTAGGGAATAGCATTATGCTAGTACATCCAGTAAAGCTTCCTGGTTTGGATCATTATACTATGGCTATACTGTATAAGACAATGTCCTTGTTCTTGGAAAATATACAGAAAACTATTTAGGAGTACTGGGGCTTGCTGCATCAAATAGTTCTGAAAGAACATTATGTGCACATATAGAGAGAATAATAAAACATATGTGGTAAAAGGTTAAACGGCAAAGCTCGGTGAAGAGTACATGTGAGTTCTCTGGACTATTTCTGCAATGTTAATGTAAAGTTTCACAGTATTTTCTAAATGTTAAAAGTAACAGGAGTATTTGCTGAAGATACACACTGTTATGGTTTTTATCTAGATGTCCCCCTTAAGTCTCATATGCTCACAGGTGGGGCTCTGGGAGGTGACTAGATCATGGGTGCATGATACTCACCAGTGGATTAGAACACTGGTGAGTTTATGGCTATAAATGTGATGCAGGGAGGGGAAGCCTGGTGGAGGAGGTGGGTCACTGGAGCTGTGGCCTAGAAGGGTCTACCTCTCTCTCCTCCCTCATCTCTTGATTGCTTTCTGCTTCCTAATGACAAGCCATGAGCAACCCTCTCTGCCAGGCCCCTCTGCCATGCCATCCTGCCTTGGAGCCAGGCAACCACAGACTGAAACCTCTATAAGCCATGAGCCACGATGAACATCTTCTCCTTATAGTTGTTGAGTATTGCGTCCTAGTGACCAGAAAGTAAATAAGACAAGCACCTTTACTAGAGAGCTCTCCAAGCCCTACATCTTCCTGCTCCATGAAGAGTTTGGAGCCAATGAGGTAGGGCAAGGGGCGGTCGATGTACAGGTCCTGTAAAAAAACAAAAGCGAACAGCCATTGTTTCGGTCCAAAAAAGGAAACCAAGGCGGGGGATTTAGCTCAGTGGCACCACACCTGCCTCGCAAGCACAAGGTCCTGAGTTCGATCCCCAGTACCCCCCTCCCAAAAAAGGAAACCAAGTATCCCCCTGAACATCCACTTTTCTGACTACCTCAAACAAGCTACTTAATGAAAGTGGACAGTAAGAAACAGAAGGTCTGTGAGTAAAATAAATGAACAGAATTCTTAAAATCATTGATTTTAAAACATTCAAATCCTAGGTAAAGATAACAAGGTAAAGCAGAACCCTCCTAAGTACCTTGTTAACAAAAATGGCAAAGGCCTGTAAAAAAAATTTACCAGGAGTAACCAAACAAGGAAAAGTAAACAACCTCCCAGCAAAGCATTCCAAAGAGATCCATGGAAAGGAACTGAAAATTTAGGGACGCTGTGAGAAATCCCACCCTCAGCTCCTCTAAAACATGTCTCTCACTATAGACACACATCCATATTTATATGTATGTACAGACACATATGAAAAATACATTAAAGTATTTTTTAAATAAAATGTAAAAATATTAACATGTAGTTTTATGTATTAAAAACATGTACGTTTGGCTCACCAGTACTGCTTTATCCTGCTTTTTATGTATAGAAATACTTACCACAAGCTCATCAATAAGAGCCCTAAATGTGGAAAAGCAAACTAAGGAACCAGCCCCAGTGCTGGCTTCCATATGATGGCAGGTGGGCACCTGCAGGCTGTGTGGCAGAGGGGACAGGACAAACCAGGCACCGAGGGAAGGGGTCTGTTCATGCTGCTGCAGAGCAGAGATGGCTAGAGCAGTGGCCCAGAGCAGGGACAAACTATACCAAGACAGTGAGGAGAAAATAGCCCAGGAAACCGTAGAGTAACACTGCCCTCACCCGCAGCAGCTCAACACTGGAGATTTGGAAAACTGGTGCTGTAAATGATAAAGGCCTGAAATAGAATGGAGGAGTGGTATGCATGGTAGTATGTGCTGGAGATCATTTCATCTCAGTCCTCCACCATCACATGTGTTAATTAGGGCCGGGGATTTAGCTCAGTGCTTCTGGTGCCTGCCTCGCAAGCACAAGGTCCTGAGTTCGATCCCCGGTACCAAAAAAAAGAAAAAGATAGGGTCAAGAAAGTGCCATTGTCACCTCCAACCTGCCCCAGGACTGCCTTCTACCGCCATTTCAGGAGTGAAGGGTGACCTATTTCTCTCAACACCCTGGGGCCCAGTAGAAAACAATTCTGATGCCTCATGCAGTGCACGTCCTAGGGCCTGCTACAGACTTCTAAACCCATAGTAAAAATGAAAGCCAGTGAGTGATAATGATCTACACCAATTTGGTATGACTGTGGAGTTCAAGTTGGGAGAACTATGCAGCTAAATGAGTAATGAGAGTTGGGTTTCATGCTTTAATCCAGAAAGCATCTGGTGTCATGTAGACTCAAATATCAGCATGGCAGCCTTGGTATTGACTACGGAGTGGCTGGGTTGCCCACTGTCTCCTTTAACAATCGAACAAAGAATGTGCAACACGTACACACCTGCGAGGTGAACAGGAAGCCTACACAGGAAAGCTCACAGTGGCTTTTCTTGTACCCCCCAAATGGGAATGACCATAACACCTTTCAACCCTCTGCTCAGAGTCCCAGGTTCCCAACAACTCCAGAGTTCTCGTGAGCCTCACCATCCTTCTCACCTCAATTCAAACTAGTGGACTGGGAGGTTAGGGAGATGCTGGGCAGAGGGCACACAGTTTCAGTTAGACAAGAGAAGTAAGACTAAGAGTAGATTGTACTCTTAAAATTCACCACGAAAGTAACTACATGAGGGATCCATAAGTTAGTCAGATGGAGGTATTCTACACTGTATATATATATCAGAACATGTTACAAAAGACAAATATACATAAACTTTTAAAAACTTCTGAAGTTTAAGAAAGAACAAACACTACCCAAATCTGAATCTTGTCTTTTCCCTGATGCCTCAGTTAGAAGTCGAGTCTCTGAGCACGTGTGATGATCACTGTATAAATGCCTCCTCCCTCCCACCAGGCCCGGCAACTCTGTGCCTCTAGCCTGGCATGTGCTATGTTCAAGTGTTCTATCAGTGTCTGTGTACAGTCAGTCTTCTGAAGGGGTTACCATAGGACTGCTAAGTGACACATGCCCTTCCTAAAGGTGAACTCTGGCTCTGCCCAATCCTGTGCCCAGGTAAAGTGCCCGAGACATAACAGGAAGTATGGTGCAGCAGAAAATACCTGAATTGAATGTGCTAACCTTAGGTTCAAGAATCAGTTCCACCCGTTCGTTAATATCATCTTCTTCAGAGTCC